GGGTGCTTAAGTCATTATGTATAGTAGTGTTTGAAATGTACCAAGGTTCGTTAACAATTTTTCGTAAAATTTTTGATTGTGCTGTTTGTATTTTGTTTGTTTGTGTGTTTGTTTTGCTGAACCCCAAAGTTCTGCTCCATATGTCCATATTGGTCTCAGTAAGATGTTCTAGATCAGTCGCTTGTTTCGTAAGTTATGTGAAGATCTGTAGTCCAGAAGATGTGAAAGTTGGCTATATTGTCTGGTAAGTTCTTGTCTTTTTAATTTCGTATGTATGTTCCAAGTAAGTCTTTTGTCTAAGTAGAGTCCAAGGTACCGTACATAGTTCTTTGAAGGCACTGGATTATTGGCAATCGTTATGGGTGGACATGAGGATTTCCTAAGAGAGAAACTAATGTGGGTGGATTTTGTACTATTAATTTTGATTCTCTAGTTTTCAAACCACTTTTCAACATAATGAGGATGGTTTTGTAGGGAAATTGATGCGATAGTAGGATTTTTGTGTGAAGTTAGAATAGCAGTGTATAAAATTAAGTATTTAGTATTAGTTTTAATAATAAGTATTAGTTGATAATAAGTCTTATTCATTTTATTTCGGATTGGAATGACCAACAGATGATTGGGAGGAAAAACAAAAGACAGCTTAGAGAGAGATGGTGGTACCTCGCGAGTGTTGAGGCATGCTAAGGATCTTGTGTGTGAAATACTTTAGTTTTACTGTGTACACCGGATTCTTCTTTTACTCTCCAAGAACCTGTGATCAGGAACCTGTGATCAGCGACGAGTGCCGCTTGATTTTACAAGTTGGGGAACATTCCACTGTCCAACAAGGACTCCGAGTTGTTGACCATATATCCTCAACCCTAGAAAGCAAGCTCGGGTGCATTTCTGGACATAGCGCAAGCTTTTGATCGGGTATGGCACGCCGGATTACTCTTCAAGCTTAAAATCCACCTACCACAGTCCTTATACCTAGTACTCCGATCCTATCTTTCCGACCGCTCCTTCCGAGTTCGCTGTGGCACCGAATTCTCCGACTGTTACTCAATTGAGGCTGGCGTTCCTCAAGGCAGCGTCTCGGGCCCCATCCTTTACATTCTCTTTACGGCTGATATTCCTGTCCATCCCGATACCCTCCTGGCAACTTTCGCTGATGACACTGCTATCCTTTCTTCCAACTCAGATCCTGAAACAGCGTCCGCAAACTTACAAAGGCACCTCTTCCTGATTGAACACTGGTGTAAGAAATGGCGCATTAAGGTAAACGAATCTAAATGTAAACACATTACCTTCACCCTTCGGCGTAATACCTGCCCACCAGTTTATTTTAACTCCATCCAGCTTCCTTTCTCAGATACAGTCCGGTATCTTGGCTTTCTCTTAGACAGACGACTAACATGGAATCCACATACTCGACTTAAAAGACAGGAACTTAACAGACGATATGGCCAGCTATATAGACTACTGAATAGAAAATCTAAACTTTCTGGTGAAAACAAATTACTGATCTACAAGACAATACTGAAACCCATCTGGACTTACGGACTAAAACTATGGGGAACAGCCAAATTTTCTAACATCAAACGCATTCAATCCTTTCAGTCTAAAGTCCTCCGTACAATAGTCAATGCTCCCTTCTATGTAACCAATAAAACCCTACACCATGACCTTAATATCCCATTTATTCTTGATCTTATCCCAGCCAAATTTTCCAAATTTCACCAGAACCTTTCTCATCACCCAAATCCCGTTGTACAATCCCTATCAAGCACCACCCATCTCTACAATCCCCTTCGTAGGTTAAAGCGGCAGTGGCCACGAGACCTTTTGTAAATATGGATATTTTGGAGTTCTAGCAATGGCCAGATTCTCCACTCAAGTCATGAGTGTCTGTGGCTGTAGCGCTCTTACTCATCCTCCGCTGGTTTAAAATACCAGTGAAGTAGCTGAGGGAGAAGCGTAGGTATCTCCTAAGCCTCCCTTTTCCCTCCACATGTGGAGGGGACAGGATTGGTTCGGAGATCACCTGGCAAATTGTAAATAATGTACGGTATGTTTTATATAAGGTGTTTGTTTTACTTTTATTTCTATTTTTATTTACTTATGTGTATATATATATTTTTTTTTTCTTTACTCTTTTGTTCTTTCTTCTTATTCTTTTGTTATTACTTTATTTATTTATATTTTTGTATATACGGTATGAATGTAATCTCTGAACTCTATTATAAGTGTCCTTAAACTGTGACAAACTGTAATATTTCTGAATAAAGTGTTTTAAAAAACAAGTTGGGGAATGAACATTTCACAGCTTGAGAAGGTAGATCCTGACGACGCTAGTTCGAATAAGATCCCCATTCCTCAGATAACCTATGTGTCAATTGGACAAAGTTCGGCATTGCGATTTTGTAAATATGAATATATATTATAATATTTGTAATTGGTTTATTATATAGTTGTAAGTTAATGCTTAGTTCTATAATAATTTTATAATCTTTTCTTTGATAATTAAAGTTAATTGTATCTTCCTTGTTTTCTTATAAATCTAATTACTTGTTTATAATTTTCATTTCCTTTAACAGTTATTTAAATCAATAGAAATAAGTAAATTCAATCATTAGTATTAATAATAGCCAGTTTTATTTTCTTCTTTTTCTGCAGTTTGTTATCACGTTTTATATATATATTATATCTTTTTTTTTATGGTTTGATAAGGAATTGTAAAACCCTATGCGAGGGATTAGAGAAAATGAATACTAACCCAGTTAGAAGCTTCGATAGGTTGTGAGGTTAATTAAAATCCGTTTTTTAAGTCATAGGTTCCGAGTTCGTAGCTCTCTCCGCGTCCAAATCTCCTTTTTTTAAATTAAATTTTTTTTTTTTTTTTTTATGGTTTTCGCTATTTTCCAAATTCAACAAATTAACTAGCGAGGCGCCTGTTAGATAGTTATTAATATTTAATTGACTCTTTTATTAATTTTCTTATTTTTTTTCTTTGCGACACTGCCGTCTCCACTGAGCATCCGGCAAGTTCTATTTTCCTAAATTAAAGATCGTAACAATATAAAGGCAAGGAAGTTGAGATGAATGGAATTTGCAATCCAATGAATGCCTCAGTTGGCAAGGCATCACTTGGGCGATCAAAAACCTTCTAAAAGCAGCAAGGACATTTTTTGAATTTCTATAGGACACACCTGGCCTTTGAAAGCCATAGATAGTGATATATTTACATAAGTATCACAATGGCACCAAGGAGGTTTGATATTGTTTGGAATTTTTTGAATAGATAGTAAATTCATATTTTTGTCCAGGAATGTGATTGATTCAATTAATCTTCGTTCTGTCATGTTCCTCTGGATTCTCTATTCGGATGAGGTCTCTCCAATCATATTTAATAGATGCTTCGGAAGTGACGCCAATTTCGCAATGTACTTCGCGAGGAGATATGACCTTCTTATTTTTAGGGAAGGCTCTGCACTTTCAATGTATATGCTTTCTACTGGTGATGTTCTGTACACTCCACAGTTGTCCACGACGTCTAGCATTTTAAGAGCGCATGTTTTAGTAGAACCATAAATGATTGAGCCATAATCCATCTTAACCGCAGCCACATAGATCCTCATTAGAGACAGTCTATCAGCTCCCAAATTGAATGCGAAAGGCACTTGAGTAGCCCTAACCTTTTTGAACAACTATCCCTTAGATATTTAATATAGTTCGTCCAAGTTAAGCGCTTGTCTAGAAACATGCCTAAATATTTACGGTCATCAACAAACGTTATGTTATTTTATCTCAACCATGTTATGCAGAGTTATGCGTGCAACCTCTCAAGCGGCAAATATCCAGTGCATTTGTGTTCAATGCCGAAATTACGAAACCACTACTCCTCGACCATTCCTCTGTTTTGTTTAGGGCTTCCTGAACCTTCCATTCAATAAAATCGATTGATTTGCCGTGTGTTAACAGCAGGATATCGTGTGCGAATAAAACAGCTTTCGTTGGTTTCTCAATAATCGTAGCCAATTCATTAATGGCGATTAAGAACAGTGTAAGTTTCTAGGTCCAAGAATATACTAATTAGATGTTCCTTTCGAGGGGAACCTTCTTCTGATTTTTCCTTTAATATTATTTCATTTTTATTTTATTTGATGTTTGTTTGCCTCTACCCTGTAGGGTCATTGGTAACACCTTTGTATTACACTTTGTTGTAGAGTTTTATCAGTTTTAAAAACCTTAAAGTTTTATTTACTGCACTTTCACTGTCTTGCAGGTTTTCTTTTAGACTCTGTGCCATGTCTAACTTTTTCCTTGTAGATTCAAATGTAGGGCAGTCTTGAATAATGTGCTTTACTGTCCTTTGGACATTGCAGCTCTCGCAGGTCGGAGGATCAAGTCCTCTTAGTAGGAAGGAGTGCGAGAACTCACAGTGTCCAATTCGCAGTCTGCAAAGGGCTGTCTCCTCTTTTCGTAATGATCGGTGAGATGTTTCCCGTTTTAACCAGTGGGGTTTAATTTCTTTTAATTTCGATTAATTAATATTAGTATTGGGTCGATACTAGAAAATAAATTTAAATAATTCGAAGGTTAAAATTTAAATAAATAATTAATTATCTTTTAAAAATGTGAAAATAGCTATTTTTATTTAAGATATGATAGGAAGTGGACATTCTCAACGGCTATTAAAACACTTCATATTAGTAATATTGTTAATGTCTGAAGTTTAACTTTCTCAAAAAAATAACTAATATGTTATTTAGTAATGGATCTATAAATACATTTATATGTTCAAACATATATGGATAGGAAGAAAACTAAATGTTCGGGACAATGAAATATTTTTATAATCACTAACGGTATTTTCGGTGAATGAATGAATTTAATATAATTTTACCTTTATATATTTTTTTTTTCTTTCATAAATATTTTCTTTGAGAATTCCTATCATATCCAATTTTTCTTATATTTTTAAATATAGGGCTGATGTTGTTTCTTTGTTGTTCCAGAAAACGCAACCAAGTTCTGCGATTCGAACGGCGATTGGAACCTGACCAACTATGGAAACTGCCTGGAGAGGGACTTTATGGCGCTCGACGCGGCAATGACGGAGATGTCCACAGTGATATACTCCGTTGGCTACACCCTGTCCTTGATTACCTTATCTCTGGCTCTCTTCATATTTATATATTGCAAGTGAGTCTATACCTTATACAAATATTAACTAGTTGTGCCCGCAGTTTCACCATGGTTTAACTTGGATTATACATCCATATTTCTTACCTGATGAGTTCTTTAAACTCGTTAAAGAACCTAAATTTTAAGTTTCCTACATCAATTTCTACCTAACCATTTGCTAAACCTAGGTACGACATTGACAATTGTGTGGGCTCCAAGTCACGGAGGTATCGTAAGGAATGAAGTGGCAGATAGAGCTGCAAGAAAGGCCGCTGGACGTGTTAAAGCTATTTTACTCCATCAGACTTAAGTAAACTCCTCGAAAAAGAAATTAAAGATGGATGGCAGTCTAGGCTAAAAATTATAAAAAACTGAAACGGTGGGGTATCTAAAGGAGGTCGTCATGACTACACTCAGAATAAGACACACGAGAC